ACTTAACCCCAATAAATTTAAAAAATAAAACTGTTTTTTTTTATGTCTTTAAATCTTTAACGTTAAAAATATTGGGTGTTAATAAAAAACAAAAGAAAATAATTTGTAAATTGGAATAAAAAAATATATTTTAATATTGTAAGAGCCAAACAAGTTTATGCAATTTTGAAAAAAAAAAAAAAAACCCACTAAATTTTGAAATAATAAATGTGTGGGCTTTAACAATATAAAAAAAAAAAAAAAAAACAGAATTGGGGTTAATAAAAAACAAAAGAGGATAATTAGTAAAATATAATAAAATTTTTTTTTTTTGAATATTAAAAAAAAAAAAAAAAAAAAACAGTTTCTTTTATAATAAATTGTATAAATAGTTTTTTTTTTTTATTATTATTAAATAAAAGATAGAAATTAAATATAAAATGGCCACAGTAAGTGAAGTATGTCAAAAAATTGAAGATGATGTTGTATGTATAAAATTAATAGTTTTAATTTGATTTATTTGATTAAAATAATATATCTAACTTTATTATAATATATTTATAGGAAAGCATGTTACAAAAATATGACAAAGATGGAGACAGAAGTTTAACTCGTAGTGAAGTTATTGAATACTTTACTCAAAATAAAGTTAAGAACCCAAAAATTTCCGCTGTAATGATCTTTAAATTATTAGATACGGATAGAGGTAACAACATAATATATTCATTTATAATTTAATAAATAAAAAGTTGTTAATAAAATTTTAATTTTTGTAATTGCAGATGACACTATTTCAATTAATGAAATTAGAAAACATGCCACTAAATTAAATCAAAAGAATTTAGAAGATGCTATTACACGTGAAGTTAAACAATTTTTAGGCAGACATGACACAAATGGGGACCAAAAAATTACATTTGATGAATTTGTAGAAGACTTGGTTAAAACAGAAAAAATGGATAAAGAAAGTATGTTTTCAAATTTATAATTTAATTAATTAAATATAATAAAACAAACTAATATTTTATTTATTAGCTGCTAAAGATACTGCAGATTTTTTCTTTTCTGAAATTGATACTGATAAAGACAATATTTTGACTGTTGCTGAGCTTAGAAAAGTAAGTAATAAAATATTATATTATAATTACTTGAAAATATTAATATATTTTTTTTTAAATTTTTTATAACTTTTAGTATGTCGGCTCCTTAGCAAATCCACAACAATAAATGATTGCTTTGCAATGAAAAAAATCACTTTTAAGGTGATATAATTAATATTAATTAATAAAAAACATAGTTTAACATAAGGGTATATTTAAGGTTTAATAAGATTTATTTTTCTTTTAAATCATTTTTTTAATCTAATAAAAAAGTGATATAGGCAAGATATCTTTCTATTGGAATGCGGATAATGAAATATTTTATGAAAAACTTATTATTTTGGTGGTCTGCTATGATAAATTGATAAGTAATAATTATGAACTATTTGAATTTAAATTTAATTTGAAAGGATTTAGAATTAAAAAGCTATTACTTTTTGTTCCAGTAATTTTCATCATTATACTTAAAGAATTATCATCAAAAGATAGTGAATTTGGTTTATCAAATCTTAGTTACATTCCAAAACAATTACAATAACAATGATAATCACCCAATTCATCATCAATTTCTTCCAAGTGGTAAATAAAAAAATTAAAATAAATATAACATTTAATTATAAGTGCTCAAAACTTAACCCCAATAAATTTTAAAAACTAAACTGTTTTTTTTTCAAGTAAATACCAATTTATTTTTAACTTCAACAAAGAAGATAACCTATCAATTGGTATTTAAAAACAAAACAAAATAAAAGAAAATAAGTTGAATATTGGTATAAAAAAAAATTGGGGGTTAATAAAAACAAAATCAGATAACTTGTAAATTATTATAGAAAAAAAAAAAAAAAATTGAGGTTTAATAAAAAACAAAAGAGGATAATTTGTAAATTGTAATAAAATTTTTTTTTGGAATATTTATAAAATAAACAAAATAAAAAAAGATAATTTTAAAAAGTATTTAATGTAGTTATTTGGTGTTAAAAATTAAAAAAAAAAAATAGAAAAAAAATATTTATTTATCTGTTCGAATCTTGATAAAAAAGCAAAAGAGGGTAATTTTTAAATTGAAAAAAAAAAAAATTTTGAATATTAAAAAAAAAAAAATTTTCATTAAATAAATAATTTTTAATATTAAAAAAAATAAAAATTGGGGTTAAAAAAAAAACAAAAGAGGATAATTTGTAAATTAGAATTAAATTTTTTTTTTTAATATTAAATTGTTTCATTAAATAAATTGTATAAATAGTTTTTTTTTTTTCATTTTTTTTATTAAATAAAAGATAGAAATCAAATATAAAATGTCCACAATATTTCCAATAATTGATAAAATTGAAAGAGATGTTGTATGTATATAATTAATAGTTTTAATTTAATTTGATTTGATTAAAATAATATATCTAACTTAATTATATTTATAGGAAATAATGTTACTAAGATATGACCTTAATGAAGACAAACGTTTAACTCGAAAGGAAGTTATTGAATCCTTAAAACAGGATAAGGTTGAGGACCCAGAAATTTCCGCTGGATTGATCTTTAAATCAATAGATGTCAATAAAGGTAACAAAATAATATATTTATTTAAAATTTAATAAACTAAGAGTTGTTAATAAAATTTTAATTTTTGTAATTGCAGATGACATTATTTCAATTAGCGAAATTAGAGCAAATCTCAATAAATTAAATAAAAAGAATTTAGAAGAAGCTATTGCCCATGATTTAAAAGAATTTTTCGAAAATCATGACCAAAATAATGACAAAAAAATCACACTTGGCGAATTGGTTGAAGGCTTGGTTAGAGCTGAAAATTATGATAAAGAGAGTAAATTTTCAAATTTATAATTTAATTAAATAAATATTATAAAACTAACTAATATTTTATTTATTAGCTGCTAAAAAAATTGCAGAGTTAATCTTTAAAGCAAAAGATACTGATAATGATGGAGTTTTGACTGTTGGTGAGCTTGAAAAAGTAAGTAATAAAATATTATATTATAATTATACTTTGAAAATTTTAAATTAATTTTTTTAAATTTTTTATAACTTTTAGCATTTTCGTGCCATAGCATCAGAATATTTATAATTGATTGTTTTGCTATAAAAACTCACTTTAAGGTGATAAAATTAATAAAAACAAAATTATACATAAAGGTATTTTAATAGTTTAATAAAATTTTGTTTTATTTTTTATTTAAATCGTTTTTAATCTAATAAACAAGTGATTTAGGATATCTTTTATGAAAACCTATTATTTTGGTGGTTTGCTATGAGAAACTGATAAGTAATTGGACAAAGTCCCAACTGATTAAATAGAAAGCAAAGTTTGATAACAACAAAATATTTTAAAATTGGTATTATAATATCTTTTTTTCTTTTATCTATATAAATCGTGAAGAGCTCCATTTTTACAAGAGTAATAACCTAATAAATCTATTCCAATAATTATCTAACCGCCAACTCATCAATGTCTATAAGCAACTCTCCTCTATCCAAATAAACAAGGTATATCTATTGGTTTTGTTATCAATATCCATATATACAATTTATTATTGTTTTTATTTAAAAAAATAAAAAAACTTTTAAAGTTTATTATTATGTGTAATTTTATTATTTATTATTTATATATAAGAGCTTTTTATAATCTTTTAAGCTCGGCAGCTTGAATTTTATCATATTCTTTTTTGATTTGGACAGAATTTGATTTAAAGAATCCTGGAATTTCAGATGCTGAGTTTGGAATTGGTTTACCTTGTTTCTTAAAGCTACTTAAAACATCATTGATCATCTTTGCACTTTTAAATGTATTAACCATCGATGCAAATGTTTGAATTTCTGTATTTGAATCTTTGAGTATTCTTGCTCTTATTCTGAAAACATTCTTACGGAAGATATATGGATTCTCTCTTTCAGCTGGTGTCATACAATCGATAATTTTAAGGAAACTTTCAATTTCTTTTTTCTTTTCGTCTTCTTTAATTTGGTCTTTAAATTTTGCAAGGTATTCTCTAAATACATTATAATCATATTTTAAACCTTTTTCTAAAAATGAATGATATTCTTCATTTTCTCTTTTTTTGACTTCCTCTTCAGTAAGAGTTGGTGCTGTTGCATTGCTAGTACTGCTGCTGCTGCTGCTGCTATCATTTTTTTGTTGTTCTAAATTTGATTGAGTTTTTTTTTCTAAATCCTTTTCATTTGATGGATATTCTTTTTTTTCTTTTTCCTATAAACAATAAATTAAATAATAACTATTATTAATATTGGAAATCAAATATTGGTACGTTATGAGATCCTGAAACATACACCTCCAAATGCATTTTTAATTTTATTTATTGCTTCAAAAAAAAAATATGATTGATTTGATGAGTGGAATGATCTTGAATTATTTGAATTTATATTTAATTTGAAAGCATTTGGGATTAATAAACTATTGCTATTTAAACCTAAATTTAATGTGTATCTTTTATTTGTTATATTTATTAATCTACTCGTTCTATACATTTTTTAATAAAAAGGAAATGGAAAATGAAAAAAAAGTAAAAAAAAATAAAAAATAAAAAAAAATAAAAAATAAAAAATTTAAAATTGTTTTTTTCATTTTTTTTTTTTTTTTTTTCATAGTTTTATAAAAAATAAAGATAATAATTACTAAAATATCCAAATGAAAAAATTAAAAAAAAAAAAACTACAACTTTGATATTTATTATTAGTATTATTATTTGAAATTTACAGAATATAAATGGGCGGGGGGCATTAATTACAAAAAAAAAAAGAAAAAGAAATGGAAATTTATTTTTTGAAAATTTTTTTTTTTTTTTTTTTTTTTTATCCAACAAAACAATTTTATTGATCTCTTTTATAAACACAACATATTTTATTACTATAGCAAACAACCCTATTATAATTTGTTGTATTTAAAATTATTTTGTATTAAAATAGAAAACAATATTCGTTAATTTTATTATTTTTTTTTTTTTTAAATTTTATTTTTTTTTTTTAAATTTTTTTTTTTAAAATTTTTTTTTTTTATTTTTTTATTTAAATTTTTAAATTACATATTATTATTTTTATGATATAACTACAACAACAATTCCATTTTAAAATCCCATTTTTTTTTTTTTTTTTTTTGTTTTTCAAAAAAAACCCCCCCCAACACAAAAACTTTTTAGGGTTTAAAATCTTTTTTTTTACATTTTTAAAAAAAAAAGAAAGAGAAAAAGAGTGATTAATACACACTATAAACAAAAAAAACTATTCACATAACAATAAAAGTAACAATAACTATCATCTTGATTGTAAATAATTATAAAGAAAAAAATTAAATTAAAATTTAATAATATTAACACATATTTATATATATTAGCACACATTTACCCACATATTTATTTATTTTATTTTATTTTTTATTTTATTTTTTATTTTTAAAAATTTAAAATAATAAATAGTTATATACAAAAATAAAATAATTTCAAAAAATAATAATAATATAAAAATTTTAAAATATTTATAAATAATAATAATAATAATATAATAATAGTTTAAATTATAAAAATATGGCTTCTACCGAAATACCTATATTTACAACTCCACAAGAAGAAATTCAGTATTGGAAAAAGAGATTGGAGGAAAAACAACAGGATATGGATGATTTAGAAACAAGCTTTAACGAATTCCAAGACTTTTCAAAACAATTAGAAGAGGAAATGGAGGAAGAGCTGAGATTGTGCGAAAAGAAATGTTCAGATTTACAATCACAACATGCGTATGTAAATGATAGCAGTATTGCTGTTTTTTTTTTTTTTTTTTTTTTTTTTAATAAAAATAACTAATAGAATTTTTTTATAGGAGATTAAAAAATGATCACGAAACAGTTTTAGATAAATTAAATACAAGCAACAGAGAATCATCAAAATTAATAAACAGTTTACAGGACGAAGTTACAAAGCTACAGGCGATAAAACAAACTTTAACAGAAGATAAAAGAAAACTAGAGCAGGAAAATGATTCATTAGAGAGAAGAGAAAGAGCTTCCTCTGCATCAGTACAGGATCTATCAGATAAATTAGATAAAGTAATGGAGGAAAATGTTTGGATGCAAAGTGAGCTTGAAGAGTCAAAACAAATTGCAGATGAAACTATTCAAAGATTAAGAGATGATATTAGAGGTAGGTACATTATAATATTAAACTAAATTTAGTCGAAAATAAAAAAATATTAATTTACTTTATTAATACAGATTTAAGACTCGAAATTTCGGTAAGAGAAAGAAAGCCAACATTAAAATCATCATCATCGTCATCAACAGAAAAACCAAATAGCATAAATACAAAACGTGAAAACCCAATATCATTTAATATACCAAGAGCTCAAAAATCACAAAGACAAAAAACAGAAGACACTGCCTCATCATCTAGAGCGGGTTCATTATTAGTCGTCACAGAGCTTATTAATTTAGTATCAGATTTGGAGAATAGAATTTCCAACTTTAGATTAAAACCAAGTAATAGTAATGGTAATATAGCAGGTACACCAACTCATGATGGTTCAATAGCAGTACCCAATCCAACCCACATCACCTATTTTAAAACATACAAATTCATTAACAAATCTCAAAGAGTTTTCATTAAATAGTAATAATAATGTATTAGTTCCTAATGGCGCATCAACATCAACTACAGCAACCATAACAACTAGTAATGGTACTACTGCCAATAGTGGTTCATTATTAAGTTTTTTTGAAAGTACTAAAAATAACAATGGTGGTGGCAGTAGCAGTAATGACAATTTAGAAATTTTAAGTAATAATAATAACCATAATAATAATCATAATGACGACACTAATAATAGTAGTAATAATAATAGTTTAAATAATAGTCCTTTTAAACCAAATAATCACAATATAGGCGTTGTTAATATTATAAATGATGAATTATCAAAATAATAATTATTAAAAAAACTTATAAACAATAAAATGTACAAAAAAAATATAAAAAAATATAAAAAAATATAAGCTTCAAAAAAATAAAATATTTATTATAAAATAAAATTGTAAAACTATTAATATTTGTAATAAAAAAAAAAAGAAAAAAAAAAAGAAAAAGATTTTAGTTTTTATTTAAAAATTTATTATTTATAAATTTAAAATAGTTTTTTGTTAAAAATAGTTTAATTCTTTTACATTAAAAGGTATTATATCAATTTATTCATTACATTTTATAATTTATACTATTGCTAAACCTGTTATTATTTATTATTATCTTTTTGTGGGAAATTTTTTTGGCAGTATGAAACAAATTCGTCGATTAATAAAGGCCATGCTTCTGAAAAATCAAAGTTTGACAAATCACTTTTAACCGTTCTTGAAAATTCTAAAAAACATACCCATTGATCTTTATTTATTGATTTATATGGATTGGTCTATTTTTTTAAAAAAAAAAAGAATATAAGGTGTGTTAATATGATATGGTTTTTTTGTTTTTAAATAAAACTGTTACTTATCATGGTACAAACATTTAAAAATGATATAAAGTTCTTTGTATGTGGACCATCTGGTAAGATTAATTTTAACATTTCTGCTGCTGTTGTTAAATCGACTGATTTCTTACTATCTACTTCGCTTGCGAAACCAAATGAATATTTATAAAGCTCTGTAAATTTAGAGCTATCTATTTTAATTTTCTTTGCTAATGAATTTAATTCAGTTTTCATTGATGGAAGATCATTACACCTATTAAAAATACTAATATTAGTATTTAAATAATATTTAAAAAATGTGTTATATTGTTATTTATTTACCCTAATTTTTCAAAACCCTTATAAAATTCTTCTTGTTTAAAATAACCCATTTTATTGGCATCCATTGACCACGCTAAAATTAAAACCTCTAACTGTATTATTTAAAATTCTATATTAGTATATCGTTTGTTAATACTATGTGTTGAGTGGTAAATTTATATACATACACTATCTGGGGCAAGTCCTAAATCTGTACAAAACTTTGAAACACCTTCTGGTCCAATTGTTTTATCCTCATCTTTATATGTTTCGAATAATGTGTGAACTGGATTTGCTGAATAGTTTGCTATTTTTGAAATTGGATTAACTTTTTCATCTGGACTTTTCCTCTTTTTTGAACCCTATAAATAAAGATATTAATACAACATGTTTATAGCTTAAATATTTATATTTTACACGTACACTAGAATTCGACGACTCGTTAGTTGATGCGGTTGTTGATGCAGTTGACCCTGACGATTTTTTTGTATATTTTCTTGTCATTTTTTTGTATATATATTTATGTGATTTTTATTTACAATTTGGTAAAGAGTGATGATGATTCTTTTATTTTTTTTATTGTTTTTTTTGTATATATTTATATGATTTAATAAATATTTTGACTATTGTTACTAATGCCTATGTTGATAGATTTTATTTATAACTTTTATTTCTTTTAATATTTTATATAAACATAAATATAGTAATCATATATAAAAATTTATATAGAGTTAGAAAATAGAGATATAAAATAGGTTGGGATTGTATGATCTATTAATAAAAAGTTTGGTAAATGCTTTCTAACAATAACAAAAAACAGAAGACTTGCTACCTTCTTAGAATTTGAAATTTAAATAGAAAAAATAGAAAAAAAAATAAAATTTAAAAAAATTATAAAAAAAAAATTAATTAAAAAAAAAATTTAAAAAAAAAACAAAAAAAAAATTATATTTTAAAATTTTTATAAACATATTTTCAACATAAATGGTTTTTTTTATTTAAACACCAAACCATTTTAATTAAAAATAATGTTAAATAAAGATAAAAAAAAAAATTTTATTGATTAAATATCAAAAAAATAAAAAAAATAAAAAAAAAAAATAAAAAAAATCAGAAAAAAGGTCGCCACTATGATTTCACTATCGGGAAAAAATATAGAAAAGATGGGATATCAAAAAAAACAAAGTGATTAAATAATCAATAGATTTTAAATAATTATACTTTCTATACTTTTTATAAAAATATCAATTTTTTTTTTTTTTTTTTCCCCAAAAAGGGTTAATCAATACAGAATTATAAAAAATAAATTTTTTTTTTTATCAATCGGTTTTTTAATAAAACAATTCAATCATTTCTTTTCAAAAAAAAAGCTCCACCGCGATCATTATAGATGGGTTTTATTCTTTATTTTTTATAAAAAAAAAAAAATCTATATTTTCAAAAAAAAATAAGTTTTTTTTTATTTTTTTTTATTTTACTATTTATTTAAAATTAAATAAAGATAACCCTTTTTTTTTTTTTTTAAAATTTTTTTATTAATTTTTTAGTTAATAAATAATATAAACAAATAAATAGAATGGGTAATAATCAAACAAAACAAGATTTTAGAACACTTGCACAAACATCAAGATTGGACCATAGTGAGTTAAAAGAATTATTGAAACAATTTAAATCAATTTCAAAAAATGGTGAAATAAAAAAAGAAGATATCAAATCAATAATAGAAAAAAAGTATGGTGGTAGTGAAAGTTCATTATCAAACATTTTATTCAATTTATTTGATAAAGATAATAGTAAAGGTATCAATTTCCAAGAGTTTTGTTTAGCATATGGTTTCTTGGTAAATAAAAGTTTAGATGATGTTATCGAGGTATCATTCAAATGTTTAGATCTCAATGGGTAACTTTTATTTTTCAAATATAGGGTATTTTTAAATTGTATTAACATTATATTTTATTTAAATTTTATTTATATTGGCGATAGTGACGGACATATCTCTAGAAACGAGTTAAGAGCAGTAGTAATGATGAATAAAAAAATGGAAAAATATTTAAGAGTTCATAAAAAACAATTACCATTAGATAAAATTACATTCCAACCTATTGAAGTTTCAAAGATTAACGAAGAGGCTGACACTTTATTCCAACGTTTGGATATGTGTGTATAATAATATTATTTATTTATATGTATCATTTTATTAATTTTTTTATATTATAAATCTATAGCAATAAAGATGGTGAAGTTTCAAAAGAAGAGTTTATAAGTTTAGCCTCGGCTGATTCTAGTTTAAAGCAACAATTAACATCCTATTTAGTTAAAGATGAAACATTAGATTTCTTCAATTAACCATCAAAATCAAAATCAATATTTTTGTACAAATATAATGAAACTTTTTAGTCTTTATAAAACTATATAAATGGTTTTTATTTTTTATAATAAATGTATTGCTTTTTATTATAAAAAATTTATAGTTTTATAGTTTTTTAATTAATTTTTTATTTTATTTATTTTACTATTTAAACAATTTGTAATATATCTAATAACCTAATAATTTTTTAACTAAAATAATGTGGTATTTGTTATACATAGTAGCACCGAATTTACAACTGAGTAAGTTTTGAATGACAGAGCCTTTATTCCCGTATGCATAACGAGCTCTTACTGATTCACATGGTAAACAAAATTGTTCAGTTCTTTGGAGGGCTAATTCATCAGTTTCGACGATCTTGTTGAAACCAGTAACGATGACCATATTGGTGGAGGCAGTGAAACCACCAACTCTTGTTCCTGATGCATCAGCAACATAGATGTTACCACTCTTGGTAATGGCACAAACTGATGATAAGAAATAATCGGAGGCTAAAGCTACTTTACGGGCAACACCTTGTTCAGCAGCTGGTTTTGCTAAAATTTTCTTGTGAACATTTTTCCATTTACAATCATCAGAGAAATAGTATTTCTTGAAACCTATAAATGTAATATAATTATAAAATTAATAAATTTTTTTTATTTATTTATTTATTTATTTATTTATTTATTTTTTAAATTTTTACATACCAATTTCATCAAGAGTGCATGAACTAGCAGCCATAACTTCAGAATCTTTTGGAATTTCGTCAATTAATAATTGGAGAGCAGCGGCTTCATCCTCGACAACGGTAACTCTGTGGTTTTTGAGTTCTAAGTTTTTAACAGTTTCTAATAATAATTCATTTGATGGGGCAACTCTAAATTTTTTTTCATCGACTTTAAAATCTTTTTCAGTTTCGCCTAATTGTTTGAAAGATAACATTTTGATGGTATTATTTATTTATGTATATTTAAAAATATAATAATGGATAGGAAAAAAAAAAAATTATTTATAAAAAAAAAAAATGTATTAATTTTGAAATTAAATAAAAAAAAAAATAAAAAAAAATTTTAAGGTGTGGATGAAGATTTTTAAAATAATAAAATTACCTTGAATGATTTTATGCGATATTTAAAGACACACACCACCAAAAAAAAAAAAAAAAAAAATTTTGTATTCTCACAAATTTTGTATTCTGTGAATCTATTTTATTATATTAAAAATTTTATTCAAAATATGGCAAAAAAAAAAAAATTCGAATTTTATTTAAAAAAATAATTTTTAAAATAATTTTTTTTTATGATTTTTTTTTTTTTAATAATTGTTTTAGCAATAAATTCACCAAAAAAAAAAAATATCATTAGATGAATATTTTAAACCAACTGACTTTGAAAGCAAATTCATTGTTATCACCACATGGCATTATACCAAGCGACAGAAAATCCTTGGATGCTTTAGTTTCTATATTCGAAAAAATCAAATGCAGTGATTTATTCATTGACAAAAATCAACCGTTAACAACTCATTATGCTCAATTAGGAGACAAGTTCAAAAGCAAAATTATATTTTATTACCCACTATTAGAGAATGAAAAATTTACATTGGCAATATTTGCATTCCCACCACATACAAAAATACCAATACATGACCATCCACAGATGACAGTATTGAGTAAAGTATTATATGGTAAAGTTAATTGTAAATCATTTGATTGGATAAGGTAATATAAAAATAAAAATAAAAACAAAACAAAATAAAATAAATGTATACTTACTTATTTTTTTTATATCATAGGAAATCAAATAACGAAATTATTACAAACAATATAAAAAATGGTAAAGCTAGATATATAGGTGAAAGAGATATTACAGAAAATGATAATGTTAAAATAACATTACCAGATGAAGAAAACATACATACCTTTGAAACATCAGAGGATCATAGTGCAGTTTTAGATTTATTGTACCCACCTTATGAACAATATAAAAGGGATTGCACATATTATAGACCAACATCACCCACATTAGACTTTAAAAACAATGAAATTATAGATTTTGAATCATATTCACCAGATTTTGACTGTCGTAGCTTTTTAAATCATAGAGGTTTAATGGAAATTCATAGAGAATTAACATTATTCGATAATAATCATAAATAATAATAATAATAATAATAATAATAATAATAATAATAATAATAATAATAAGTAATAATAAATATATAGTTATATAACAACAAATAATTGTTTAAAAGTTAAATAAATTAAATCGAAAAAAATGTACATTGTATAAAATTTGTAAATAAAAATAAATTTGTTAAAGTATACTTTAGGTTTTTTAATAGTTTTATAGTTTAGATGTTGTATCTTTTATTTTTTTATTTTTGTTCATTGATTTCGTTTGGCAGTGTATGTTTGTCAAGATTTGATTTTAATAGTTCCAGTAGTTGATTGTTATTTTCTCTTTGTGAAGTTTTTAAATAATGGTTTATGAGGGATACAATTGTAGTGTTGGGTTCTTTTGAATTTTTATATAAATTTATCAATCCTTCTAAAAATTCGGTATTGTTTAAATAAGGGAAATCTTCAGTTTTTAAATTGATGACGGCAGAGCCTAATATTTTGATTAGATCTTGGTATTTCCTGTTGTAATATAAAACATTGATGAAATCTTTAATTGGAGATACAAAATTAAAAGGATTTTTATCTGTAGGGGTATCACCTATATATATTTTGAATGAGATATATGAAGGATTACTGATTTCTATTGTGAAGTAGTTGTTTGAAACCCATTTAAAAAACTTTGATTTGATATCATTTTCGTTTATTAAAAAAAATAGGCTTGTACGTTCAAAGTGATATAATATGGTTGCAATGTTATTGACTGTTAATCTATCGTCATTTTCAAAAGCCTCGATCAAAATATGTGTAATATCATAGATTTCACATGTGGGGGATGAATAGTACAATTCCGGATAATTGAATGCCCTGATAACTCTTTCTATGAAACATTCATTTTTAAATTGGCTATAGTCCAATAGATGATATGCATGGACAAATCTTTTATGACTTGCTACAGTTGTTTCTGAGAATTTGTCCTTTAGACTCTCTAAAATATTAAAATCCCTTTTTGATGCACCAATTTGTTGAACATTTATTGAAAATTTATTATTGAGAGATTTCATTAGCTTTTCATAATGTTCTAAAATTGTGATTTTTGAAATGAACCAACATTTTGAGTTTCCGATTCCAAATACTTCTCTTTGATAATATTTGAAATAGTAATCCAGTGTTTTTGTTGAGCCTATAGTCTGAGCAAATATTATTTGGAGTTTGATTATTTCATTTTTAATAAATTGGTCAATGATTCTTGGGTATCTCTGTTTAATCAGTTCGAGGTATTCCACATCACCATTTTTTAAAACTTGTATAACACATAAACCTGCTTTTGCCATTAGAAATTCTTTTGACTTGGAAATTACATCTTTGAAATCCACTAAACTTTTTAGAGGGCTGGTATTTACCAAAAAAGTATCTATACTAGTTGATTCTTTAACTTGAATAGCTTGGGATAAATAATGTTCTAAATCTTCTTTTTTGTAATGGTTTTCATTTGTAAGGTTATTAATACCAATACAAATACTATTTACTAAGACAGATACTAAATCTCTTGGGTTATGTATTGATTTTATAATAATATCAAAATAGTTTAATATTATATCCAATACAATATTATTATCATTATTATTATCATTATTGTATTTTAAAATTTGTGATGATTCTATTAATTTTAATACATTTGTATTTAATTGGTTTTTTGTAAATTGGCTGAATTGACACTCTAGAGTATTGTCTTTAATAAAGTTATAGTCTTTATTACTGATTAGCGAGGTGATTGATTGTTTATTTCTTAATGGTAGTATTTTAAAATTATCTATTATAAATTTGCTTGCTATTATTAATTTTTTTAAAGTTAATTGATCGATTTTAATAGAGTTTATTATAAATTCATTTATTGTGATGCTGCCATAGTTTTGAGTTAAATATTTAAATATTTTGATGGATCTCCATTCTAAAATTTCACATTGGATTTTTATTTTGACCGAATAATCTTTGATAACAGTCTTGAAAATGTTCCTTTTATAAAACTCTTTTGATATTTCGACGATTTCTTGATTTGATATATTATAAACTTTTATAAATTGGTTGAATGCTACAATATTTCCATGGGAAAGAATGGTACCTAATAGTTCTTTATTTGACCTTAATTTTAAATCTTTGGAATAGTTTAAGAAAAATTGATTATAAAAATCTTGATTCTCTTTATTGTTCTTAATGATTCTTTCATAGATTATTTCGTAATCACCCAGATATAAAATTCCACCCGATTTGACCTTGTCTCTGATTATCTCTGGACCGTTGTATCTTATAATGATATTATTAACATTGATCAAACAATTATAGTGGTCTAATTTTCTAAAATTTGAAAATATTTTATTTCTTATAAAAATATTTTTATATATTCTCCAAAATAGAGTTTCATTTAATGATAATTCTTTATTATTATTATACATATAATTGAAATTTCAAATTTTTTTGAGAAATGGTGTGGAGGGGTAATTGGAATTGCTTTGATTGATTTGGTAAATTAAAATTTTTTTAAATTATAAAAAAATTTAAAAAAAATTAAAAAAATTAATAAACAAATATCAAAAAAAAAAAAAAAAACTTTATAAATTTCAAAAAACCTTAGAAAAATAAAATGAAATTGTAAATAAAAATAATTAATTAAAATAATTTATTTAAATTTATTAATAATTTATTAATTTATTAATTTATTTATTTGCTTTTTTATTTATTTATTTATTTATTTATTATATGTTTGCTGGTGAGCGGTGCCCAGAGAAAATTGCTGTGCAAGCTATATGGTGATTTTGGTGGTATAGGTGATTGTGGTGACGCAACTGTTGAGAATGAAAACCATGATGGTGGTGGTGTCTAAACTGTTGAGGATGGTGTATCATTGTCAGTTGATAGATATTGAGAGAGTGGTATTTGTTGAGCAACGACTGGGGTAAAGTGAGCAACTGGAGCAAGTGGAGCTACCGGGGCACATGAAGAAACGGGAGCTACTGACGCATGTGCAGCAGCAAGATAACGTTCAGCATAAGGAAACGAAGATGAGAGTTGTACATTATTGAGTAAATCACCGGTGACGTTATTGTTGATAATGAAAGTTATCAACTTTACAATTCTATAATGCTTTTCCATATCTGATCTAAATTGGGAATTAGCATCAAAGGATAATTAATTTGTTTTTAATCAAATCTTAGACCCATTCATTAACAATTACAACAACAACCATCATCACCTTATTCATCATCAAGTTCATCTGCCTTATCACCAACTGCTTGGTCATTGGATTCTTCAGAATCAACCTGTAGGTTGGTTTGGAGGTCATTGTGGGTCATGTCCTTCATGTTTAGAAAATGAATGGGCTCATTGTGAAAAAGGAAAGGTTTGTGGTATTCATTATGACGGTGGTTATACAGAGCATATGACATGTCCTGAAGATGCTTTGGTATTTGCCCAGAGGATATGGATCCAATTGAATCAGCTCCATTATTATGTGCAGGTATTACTGTATACAATTCATTTAGAAACTTAAATATTAAGTCAGGATCGTTGGTCGGTATTCAAGGTATTGGTGGTTTGGGTCATTTAGGTATTCAATAATGCTTGCACTTTTACCAGAACCATTCAATGCCAATGCTGGTGCAATAATTGGCGGTAATAAATCAATTGTTGGTTGGGTTTCAGGTGATTCTCGTGTAAGTATAAATAATATAGTTATACATTGCACTAAATATATAAAATAAATAATGTGTAATAAAACATACTATCATTATCAAATTTAACTATTCATGATTGAAAAAAAAAATGGAAATGACACTTTGGAAAAAAAAAATTTAAAAGCAATTTAAACTTGGTTTCGATATGATCAATAATGATTGTTGTCTCTTGGAGTCATTGTTTGACGTTAAAGCTCATGAATATTTATTATGGTAAAAATTGAATCTTTATTATTCATTAAAATTAATAATAAATAAATTAAACCCCAAAATCAAGTGGTTATTTAAAATAAAAATAAATAAATATTTAATAACAGCCGCTCACAATTTAACCCCAATAAATATAATAATTAAACTGTTTTATTTTAATACCAATTCAATATTTCAACACTATAATCAACTATTTTTTTTTTATCTCTTAATCTTTAATATAAAAAAAAAAATTGGCGTTAACTAAAAACAAAAGAAGATAATTTGTAGTTTGAAATAAATTTTTTTTTTTTGAACATTAAAAAAAAAAAAATTGGGGTTAATAAAAAACAAAAACAAAAGAGGATAATTTGTCAGTTGGCATATAAAAAATATGGGATAAAAAAAAAAACAAAATTGGGGTTAAAAAAAAACAAAAAAAAAGAGGATAATTTGTAAATTGGAATAAAAATATTTTTTTTTGAGTTTGAAAAAAAAAAAAAGTTTAATAAAATAAATTGTATAAATAGTTTTTTATTAAATATAATTTAACAAAAGATAGAAATCAAATATAAAATGGCTACAGTAAGGGATGTATGTAAAAAAATTGAAAGAGATGTTGTATGTATATAATTAATAGTTTTAATATAATTTGATAAAAAAATATATCTAACCAAAATATTATATATTTTTATAGGAAGACATGCTAGAAAAATATGACAAAGATGGAGACAAAAGTTTAACTCGTAGTGAAGTTATTGAATACTTTACTCAAAATAATGTTAAGAACCCAACTATTCATGCTGCATTGATCTTTAAATTATTAGATGTCGATAGAGGTACCAACATAATATATTTATTTATAATTTAATAAATTAAAAGTTATTAATAAAATTTTAATTTGTAATTGCAGATGACACTATTACAATTAATGAAATTAGAAAACATGTCAATAAAATAAATCAAAAGAATTTAGAAGAAGCTATTACCCGTCAAGTAGGCCAATATTTAGAAAGATATGACCAAAATGGTGATTTCAAAATCACATTTGATGAAATGGTTGAAAGCTTGATTAAAGTTACAAAATTGGATAAAAACAGTAAATTTTTAAATTTATAATTTAATTAATTAAATTTAATAAAACTTACTAATATTTTATTTATTAGCTGCTAGAGAAACTGCAGAGTTTTATTTTAGCCAAATTGATACTGATAATGATTATGTTTTGACTGTTGATGAGCTTAAAAAAGTAAGTAATAAAATATTATTATAGTTATACTTTGAAAATTATAAACTAATTTAATTTTTTTAAAATTTTTTATTACTTTTAGTATTGCTGCTCCTTAGCAAATCCACAACAATAATTGACTGTTTTTCAATGAAAAAAAATCACTTTTAAGGTGATATAGTTAATATTAATTAATTAATAAAAAACAAAAATATAAATAAAGGTATTTTAATAGTTTAATAAATTTTATTTTTTATTTAAATTGTTTTTTTAATCTAATAAAAAAGTTATAGACTATCTTTCGATTGGAATGCGGATAATGAAATCTTTTATGAAAAACCTATTATTTTGGAGGTCTATTATGAGAAATTGATAAGCAATTGGACAAGGTCTCAACTGATTAAATAGAAAGCAAAGTTTCATATCAAAATATTTTAAATTCGGAATATTTGATTCTTCTATAATATCTTCTTTTTCTTCTTTAATTTTATCTATTATAATTTGTGAGGAGCTTTATTTTTACAATAACATTTTTTAATTAAATAACAATTTAATTTTTTAAAAAAAATTTAAAAAAAAATTTTATTTTTATTTTATTTTTTTATATTTTTTTTTTTTAATTATTTAAAATATTTTTATTGTGTGGGTTTCTTATTTTGGTAAATTAATTATTATTTTATAGTAATTACATTAACATTTAATATAAATACTATCATTATGACATCGTCAAACACACTTATACATAAATATACACAAAAAAATGAATTTCAAAAATAAACACTTATTTTATTTAAATTAAATTCTAAAATAAAAATAAACTAAATATATAAATAAAAAATATTCATAGAATATTTTATATAAACCACTTTAAATATATAATAAATATTTTATTCTCCAAAAAAAATGTTATAAAATGGGTATTATATTAGAAGAAAAGTATGTTGTTTATATTAATTATATTAATTTTTCTTTATTATAAAACTAATAAAATTTAATAATTTTTTTATTAATTTAAATAAAATAATATAAAATAAAATAAAATAAAATAAAATAAAATAAAATAAAAGTTATATAAAATTAAATGAAATGATATTTAATGATATTTTACAATATTTAATAATTAAAAAACAATCTTTCAAAAGTTTATTAGAAATATCATTAATATCCAAACAGTCATTCAAGATAATACAAAATTTAATAACACACCAACAAAAACAATTAAAAATAACAATAGGAAGTATAGATTCAATAAAGAAATATATCGAGAATAGTTTAGATTGCAGTAATGAGGTTTACAAAATTAAATTATTTCAATTTAGAGATATAGAGTATGTAAGATGCAGAGGAAGCAAGCCAAAGGTTTATAAAATTAAAAGTGGTGTTGAGTTAAAAGAGTTTTTAAAAGAGAATTGTCCACAGCTAAAGAGAGTACATTTACTTACTTTTACATTCGCCGATAGATTTGAAGGAAGAGATTTGGATCATTTCTTGTTCAAGCAGTTAATAGAATCTCATCACGATTATTCAGAAGGAGGATTCTTTAGTTTTGACCAGGTGGAAAGTGATCTTTGTTCAGAGTATTTACCTCTCTCCAACAGAAAGGAATTTAACGAGACCCATGGTGCCGATAAATTGCAAATCTCATTATATAATTACAGCTTGGACGATGTTTTTCACTATCAACCAAGGAAACTTTCAATCAAATACAGCAGATTCAGGGGTTTACTATTGTATAATTTAGATCCATTTTTAAAATTTGACTCTATAGAATCTCTTTTCATACAGCAACCAGTAACAGCAAAATTCATAAGGAAAGCTTTGGCATCAAAATCATTGAAATCCCTATCAGTCACCTTTATGTTTGAAAAAGACTTTGATTTGTTTATTGGCAAGGTAAAGCCTGAAGACGCTATCGATAGCGATATCGATACCAACGGAGATAGTGTTATAGTGTATGAAGAAAGTGGTGACGAGGACGAGTACTATTCTTCGAATAAAGATGCATTAATCGACAATATAAAGACAAAAAAACCAAAAAAGAATCCAATCAGAGAAGAGACATCAAAAAGAGAGCTTCTCGTTAAAGAACTAACTGATTCCTTACAAGAGCTATCAAGTAATAGCACATTAAAGAAGTTAGAGATTCGTATACTATTGCCTTTTTATTGCAGAGACCCAACCCTGTTATTTGAGAGTATTAAATCAAGCGGAAACCAGACACTAAGCAAGTTAAGTATACCAGGATACAATGTAACTAAATCAAACTTTTTAGCACCTCTATTAAAAGTCCCATCCATTTCAACATTATATTTCGAAAGTAATCCAAATTTCAAATATAATGTTAAATCATTTAATGCATACCTCAACCATGTTAATGAAAATCCAAATATTTCCAAGTTCAAATGTTCATTGGTTTACCATTTCGCTGCATGTGATATAATACTAGAGAGACTCGTTAGATACTTTAAAGAAAACACAAGAACCCTTTCTATTTTTATAACATTTCAAGTTATTATGGAAAACTTTTTCGAATCATCCAGCAAAATATTAACAGACGAATTTTGTAAAAAAGTTCAACAGGATTGTTTAAATATTCAAGATCAACTATTACAACAATTAAAACAAAGTAATAACAAAACACTATCATTAATATTTAATCCATAATAATAAAAATACAAAAATTTAATTTTTTTTATGTAACCATAGCCCTTAAATCATGATGTTTTTAAACGCCGTATTTCTAATAAAATATAGTTTATTGTTATTTGTGATATTAAAATGATTTTAACAGTATTATTATAATTAAAAAAGAATTCAATCTACAAAAATTACACAGTTGTGATTTTTTAAAATAGTAATCTCGAAAAACAGATTCTAATTTTAAAAAAAAAAAAAAAATTTTATTTTTTTTTTTTTTTAAAATTAATTAAACACCACATATAATGATTATTTTAATTTGTGCAAACTCTTTCAAAAAAAAATAAATAATAGTTTCATATGTTTTTCAGGCACACTCAAACTACACTAAATAATAATATGGGAGTTGCGGTTGAATTTTTGATTTCATTTAAAATGATGTATGATTTGATAAAAAAATCTTTTATTAAAAAAAAAAAAAAAAAAAAATTGAATAAAAATGTGTGTTAACACACCCTAATTCACATTCACACTAAAGAAAAATGATTGTTTTTACATATTATTTTTTGTATTAAAAAATGTGGGGGCTTTTAATGTGGTGTTTATTGGTCGGTTTTTTAAAATACAATATTTTTGTGATTGTGTTTTATTGTTATTATTTACACATGATAACACACCACAAATTGTTTTTTTTTATCTTTTGGGAAGAAGGAGGGGTAAAAATTATAAAAAAAAACAATACATACCCTCTACAAATCATTTCAACCTAGACAGTTATGATTCTTGGATAAGAGAGAGAGGCTTAACAAAGTGGAGCTTTTTTTCAATAATTTTTTAAATTTAGTATGTGGGTAGTGAGTTTTGTTTTTATTTTATATATTTTTATAATATAATATAAATACATATATATCATTTGAAATTTATATAATCAATTTTATTTTTAAACTATCTCCTTTTTTATAGATAAAATACAATAAAAAATAATAATAATAAAAATAAAAAAATTATTTGTTTTTTTTTTTTTTTTTCTTTTTTTTTCTTTCATTTTTTATTTTAAAAGAATTTACTTTAAAAATAATGATTTTAAAATAAGATAGAAAAGTTCTAATTTTAATTAATATTTTTTTTTTATTTTTTTGTTATTTTTTTCTTCCACCTTTAAATCATTTCAAATCAATTTTTTTCTTTTTTCTTTTTTCTTTTATTTTAATTTTAGTTTCCCATTATTTTATGTAATAGTCAGTGATTAGTAATAAATTAGTACTTGCTCTCACTTGTATAATTAATTTGTAATATTAAATATTAAAATCATTCCATAATCATTTTTTCCATAAAAAATTATACTATAATACTATCAATAATTTTTTTTTTTTTGATTTTACTTTTTTTATAAATAAATACGCAATATATTAAATAAAATAATTACACATTTAAATATTTAATTCTGGGTAAATATATTTTTTAAAATTTTTTTTTTTTGGTTTTTTTTATTTTTTACAAAAAAATTTGATTTTTTTTACATTTCATAATTATTAAATTCACACAGAAATAAAATTATTATTTATATAATTATAATAAATTTAACAATAAAAAATGGATTGAAATTTAGATTTAATAACTTCACAAATAATGAAGGTTAAATATAGTAAATAATAAAATATAGATGGATCAAAATTTAATCACTTTGGGATATAGATAAAAATAACTCACACACCACATCCATCTATCAATCTCTATCTACACACATATTTAAAGAGTAAATATATTACAAATAAAATATTTTATAATAGTTTTACTCTTTTTTATTTTATATTGTTTTATAATAATTTTTCAAAATTTTATGAAAAATAAATAAATAATATTACTCGTTATGATGTTAATATGTTGATTTTTTTTTTTTTTTTTTATAATTTTTATTTCACAACGCAATAACAAATGTGATATTCTATTATATAATAATAAAATATTAAAAATCTATTAATTAATTAAAACACCCCAATACTTTGCTTTAGCTCACCCTTTTCCATTAAAAACAAAAATAAAAATAATTATATAAATTTATTTAACACACACACACACACACAAAGACAAATATGTTTATTTTTATATAATTATGTACAAATATATAAATATTTTTTAATTAATTAAATTTAAATTTAAAATTAAACTTTTATTTTAATTAAATTTTTTTTTTTTTTTTTTTTTTTTTT